TGGTATGTCGCCACTAACCGGCCTATTGTGCAATCCCCGGATGACAGATGTTGAGTGTGGAGCAGTCGGTGGGATGAGAATTGGCAGGGAAAACCGAAGTAGTCGGAGAAATCCTGTCCCAGTGCCACTTTGTCCACCACAAATCCCACATGACCAGACCCCGGGCTCGAACCCGGGCCGCCGCGGTGGGAAGCCGGCGACTAACCGCTTGAGCCATGGCACGGCCCAGCATGTAGGTAACTTTGGAATATTCAGCCACCTCTCTTCAATGGAGCAGGGTACACATGCTTTGGAATATTCAGCCACCTCTCTTCAATGGAGCAGGGTACACATGCTTTTGAATATTCAGCCACCTCTCTTCTATGGAGCAGGGTACACATGCTTTGGAATATTCAGCCACCTCTCTTCAAAGGAGCAGGGTACACATACTTTCCAAATGTGTTCCATGAATTTTCGTGTACCGCACAAACCTTGGTCTTCACTTACCACAAGCAGAAATCTGTAGGGCCCAGCAGCCGACACACGGTAACGACTGCACAGTACAAAACTGTTCTTCTCCACGTCCTACAAAATGGTTTAGTACGGACTTTGTTGGACCGATACAAATCACAATTAAATTCGCGCGATAACTCCCGATGCAGGACCCCCTCCCAAATGAATTCCACCAAAATTAGTTGATTATTTTCGGAGATGAGATAACCGGAGGTAGTACATTCACATTATGTGTTACCTTTATTCCTTTAACGCAAAGAATGCACAGTCAGTTTGGCCCTCTCTGCCGTGTAAGTGTGGATGGTACGAAGAGCTGTTTCCGGAAGAATCACCAGTGGGCGTTGATTCGATGTGAGACTCCACAGCCTATGTGCATGGCAATTCGTACGTCGAGAACTTCGACATGAAGAGTGACAGCAGTACTAGTCCTTTCCCAGATGTGTGTGGCATCATCCCCAGATCTTAAAAGTTACATTCTGTCAACTATCGTTTTTTTTAAACCGTCAGAGACTTAGTACTGAAACAATTATCAAACTATGTAAGATTTCAGGTTTTCACGGGGTGACTATGAAGAAAGCAGTCTTCTGGGAGTTGGCACCGTGTGTATGTGGTGCTAACCGACGTTTCGGAGGAACGTATCACCTCCATCTTCAGAGTAGAAAGAAAAATATAAGAAATCCGCAGGCGAAGAGACCGTGACAACCGGTACAAGCAGACTTGTCTGCTGCAGACTGATACGTTCCTCCAAAACGTCGGTTAGCACCACATACACACGGTGCCAAATCCCAGAAGACTGCTTTCTTCAATTAGCAAACTATTCATCGCCATTTTTGAGAAAAGTTATGGGAGAGGATATAGCTTCCAAAGAACCGAAGAGAGCAGTCCAGGCACGCTATTTACAATTAAATTACGGACTGAGACACCGAGGTCTGATCTGAACTTTCAGAATAGCGAACAAGAAACCTGTAAATACGGCAATAAGAAGTTCCTCATTTGGCTACTTGCAACATATGGATGACTAAGTCAAAGACGATGAGATGGGCGAGGAATGTAACAGGCATGAGGGGACCGGATTCGGATTTATCTCGATCATGACATGGACCAGTGGCGGGTTCTTGCATTGAAACTTTGGGTTCCATAAAATACGTATCTTGCGTACTGACAACTACGAGCTTCTGGAAGACTCTCCAGCATTCAGTTCGTTGATTGCTGGTTCATTAAATCATTCCGCGGATGTTCTAGTGACAACTGTTTGACAGGAGCAATGCTTTTCTTACAAATTCCAAAATTATGAACACAAAAGAACATATAAGCAGGCTGTTTCCTCTTAAAATCTTCTTTTCGTTACGTTTCGCAGTTACAGTACCACAATTGGCCTAGCGTCGTTTTTTTACCCTTTTCACAGAACCAGAGAATTCCTTTCTTTTATTTAACGACGCTGTCGGTAACTAAGAGACCGCCTCTGTGGTCTAGTGGTCAGAGTTCCTGACTACATATCCAGAGGTGGCGGGTTCGATTCCCGGTGCCACCAGATTTTCTGAGAAGCAGTGGGTCTGGAACGGGGTCCACTCAGCCTCGTGAGGATAATGAGGAGCTACTTCAAGGAAATGGCGGCTCCGGTCTAGAAAACCGACATTAACGGCCGTTGGGATTCGTTGCTAAGACCACGTGACACCCTCTATCCGCTAAAGTTGGCATTAACTTCGCCGACAAGCGGCGGTCGGGTCGGTATAGTTCGCTTGCGGACTACAGGCCACGGAGTTCTTTTTATCGGTAACTAAGACCGTATAACGTCGAACGGTATGACAAATGAACTGGGAAGTATTTTGAGAGGAACCGGTACAAATATAAAAGCCTCAGTGAGGGTAGCTGCTGTCCGTGCCGCGAACCATCCACCAAACCAGCATCACCCTACGCAGCTTGCAAACCTCTGAACACTTCCAACACAGCAGAAGTGGACGCGTAACCGGGAAGAAGCGACGCTCAATTCCATTCGTTCCAAATTCACTTCGAAATAAAAATATATTTCCAAGGTTCAATTACATTCGAAAATATTTACATAAAAGGGATAAATACGCAGTCTTGTTATCACAAAAACCCTGAAGACATGTGCAATTCAGCAAATCAAATTTGCAAATCTTACTTCAGCAAGGCCTATTTACTTTGCTAGAAGCATCAAGCACTCCCGTGTTGAAGTCTGTCACTGCCTAAAAAGCCACGCACTTAAAAGGACAAGAGGTTTGATGCAATATTACCAGAGTTCTAGGCCTTGTAGGATTTCTTGAAATGTTCGGAACAAGAGAAAAAAAACGTTTTTCTTATGATATCTAGCTGAAGAGGAAAGAGTTTCTGATGAATAAACCAGAATTCATGTCAACAGTACATATCATTCGTGATTATATATAATTATGAGTAATTTATGTTTACTGTTATACAGTAACCCTAAGAACTCCCTCCCAGATTCTCGAGGAGAATTCGCCATCTCTTAAGAAAGAAAGTGTTCTATAAATAGAAAACGGCTCCAATATATGGCCAAAAATTGCCTACAAACTTTCACTTTATAAAAGTACCAAATTTCATCTAAATCCTTTCAGTAGTTTCGTAGATGCAACGTGCGAAAGCATTAGCAGTTATGTCCTCTCATACATGCATTTTTTTAAGTTTCTTAGGGTGAGGCGAGACTGAGTAAACTTGGTACATCGAACACTGACTGGCCTATTGTACCAGCCCCGAATGGTAGATGATTGTGGAGCAGTAGGTGGAATGAGAACTGGCAGGTGAAACCGAAGCACTCGGAGAAAACCTTCCCCAATGCCACTCTGTCCACCACAAATCCCACATGACCTGACCTGGACTCGAACACGGGCCGCCGCGGTGGTAAGTAGGCGACTAACCGCCTGAGTTATGGCACGCCCCCTTACATGCATATACTTTGTGTACAAGATAAAAATTAAATCCTTACTTACGTAACACCACGTCGCAACTCAAAGCACATTTAAGGACGAATCCCCTACTGGCCAACACGCCGAAGTTTGGGTAAATTACTGAAATGTGGGAGTAAATATAACAAATTCGCAAACGCCATGCGATCATTCTGATATTTTCAATAGGACGAAATGAATGACGACGGAAGTCTCTGATGCAACTATTCTACTTCAACGTCTACTGCTCCCTTTACTGTTCATTTACTCCGTGACTTTAGTCCGCAAGCGAACTTACCGACCGAGCGACCGCTGCTTGTCGGTGAAGTTTAGTGCCAAGTTTAGGCGATATAGAGTTTCGCGTGGTCAGCGCAACGAATCCCCACGGCCGTTAATTTCGGTTTTCTAGACCGGAGCCGCTATTCCCCTGATATAGCTCCTCAATTATCATCATGAGGCTGAGTGGGCCCCGTTCCAGACCCACTACTTTTCAGAAAAAAAAACTTATAGCACCGGGAATTGAACCCGAACCTCTGGATCTGTAGCCAGGCACGTTGACCACTAGACCAC